TTAGAATTTGGTTTCAGTTCTACTCTCCTCCCTAGCCCCTAGCCCCTACCCCACCTACAACTGACGGTATTGGGTATATGCATATTTTATTTATAAGTTAACTTGGATTGTATTGTTTTCTCTTCTTCAGATTAGCTGTGTTACGCATTTAAAAGACAGTTGGGTTCATTTGTTTGTTTGCTTTCAGTTTTAGTTTTTTGCCTCTCTTCCATGCTTATTATTTTTTGAATCTATAGAACATTAACCTGCTTCCAAAGGCTAAACTACAAAAAAGTATGCTCGGAGAAGTGCCATTCTTCTCTTTTACCCAATCCTCCCCCCACCTCATGTAAGTAAATAACTTTGTTGTTTTCCGATTTATCCTTCTTTTGTTCCTTTTTTTGTAAAGAAAAGCAGATATATGTATGCTTTCTTATTTCTCTTTCTTTCTTACATAGAAGATAACATACTATATAAACTCTTTTGCAGTTGCTTTTTTCCCTTAACACTATATCCTGGAAACCATACCATATCAGTTTATAAGGATTGTCCTCATTCTTTATTATAGCTGTATAGTATTCCAGTGTGTAAGTACCATAGCTTTATTATTCCTTTTCCAATTCTTATTTCCCTAATTACTTTCTTTTTTCTAAATGCTTTCACTAATGTATCCAGAACAGTGTTAGCTGAGATCATTGATTTGAAACTCTTCTTTTTTATTATAGGTATTTACAGCTATAAATTTCCCTCTAAGTTCTGCTTTAACTGCATCTTACAAATATTGATACGTTGTATTTTAATTTTCATTCAGTTTAGAGTACTTTTTAATTTTCCTTTTGATTTATTCTTTGACTCATGGTTATTTAGAAGTGTGTTATTTAGTTTTCAAATATTTAGGGATTTTCTTATTACTGATTTCTTACTTAATTTCTCTGTTGTCCGAGAATATACTTTGAATTACTTAAATCCTTTAAATTTATTGAGAGGCAGAATTGCTAACGGTAAATGTGGATTTGTCTATTTCTTCTTGGAGTTCTATTAATTTTTGCTTTATGTATCATGAAGCTTTGCTGTTAGGTACATGATCATTATGCGTTACGTCCTCCTCATGAATTGGCTTCATTATGAATAGGCCTTCTTTATTCCTGGAAACATTCTCTATTCCAACTTGTACTTTGTGTGATATTAATATAGTCCCTCCTGGTTCCTTTTGTTTATTGTTGGCATAGTACATATTTTTTATTTTACATTTAATCTATTGTATCTTTATATTTAAAGTGGGTTTCTTGTAGTCAACAGTTAGGTTTTGCTCTTTTATCCAATCTGATAATCTTTGCCTTTTAAGAGGAGTATTTAGGTTATTTGCGTTTAATATGATTGGTATTGTTAGGTTGAAGTCTATCATCTTGTTGTTTGTTTTCTACCTGTCCCATCTGTTCTTTTTTTTCCTGTTTCCTTTCTTTCTTCCTTTAATTAATGAGGTATTTTTTATGATTTTATCTCCTTTGGCAGTGTATTAGCTATGATTCTTTTTTGTGTTATTTTAGTTGCTTCAGGATTTATAGTGTATGTCTTTAACTTATGACAGTTTACCTTTAAGTGATATTACACCACTTCACATATAAGAACCTTACAACTATATATTTGCATTTCTCCCCTCCTGGCCTTGGTGCTGTTGTTGTCATCATTCATTTTACTTCACATGTTATATAACCTACAACATATTGTTATTATTTTGCTTTAAACAGTCAGTTATTTTTCAAAGAGATTTCAATTTTTTTAGGAACTTCCATAGTGTTCATTATAGCTGTTGCACCACTTTATGATCCCACCAATAGTGCATAAGGGTTCCAACTTTTCCACATCTCTGCCAACACTTGTTATTTTCTTGTTTTTTGTTACTACCTATCCTAATGGGTGTGAGGTGATACCTCATTGTGGTATTGATTTGCATTTCTCTGATAATTAGTGATGTCGAACATCTTTTTTTTCCTTACATTTGTTGGTGATTTGTATATAATCTTTTAAGAAATGTCTATTCAAGTCCTTTGGCCATTTTTAAATTGAGTTGTTTGGTTTTTTGTTGTTAAAATTTTAAGTTATTTATATATTCTGGGTTTTAATTCCTTATCAGATATATGATTTGTAAACATTTTCTCTCATTCTGTAGGTTGCCTTTTCACTCTGCTGATTGTGTCTTTTGATGAACAAAAGATGTTAAATTTGATGTAGTCCCATTTGTCTAATTTTGCTTTTGTTGCCTGTGCTTTTGATGTCATACCCAAGAAATCATTGCCAAATCCAATGTTTTCTTCTAGGCATTCCATAGTTTTGGGATCTTACATTTAGGTATTTAATCCATTTTAAGTTAATTTTTGTATGTTGTGTAAGATAAGGTTCCAGCTTCTGTCTTTTTCATTTGGATATCCAGTTTTCCCAGTATCATTTTGTTGAAAAGACTATCTTTTTCATATTGAATGGTCTTGGCAACCTTGTCAAAGATCATTTGACCATATATGCAAAGTTTTATTTCTGAACTCTGTTCTGTTCCATTGGTCTCTATGTCTGTTTTTGTGTTAGTACCAACATTGTTTTGATTACTGTAGCTTTGTAGTATGTTTTGAAATCAGGAAGTTTGTGTCCTCTGAGTTTGTTCTTCTTTTTCAAGTTTATTTTGGCTATTTGGAGTCCTTTGGGATTCCATATGAATTTTAGGATGCTATTTTTCTATTTCTACAAAAAATGACATTAGGATTTTAATAAGGATTGCATTAAATTTGTAGATCACTTTGGGTACTATTGACATCTTAACAATATTGTGTTCCCACCCATGAACATGGGAGTGTTTCCATTTACTTGTGTCTTTTTTAATTTCTTTCAGCAGTGTTTTGTAGTTTTTAGTGTACAAGTGTTTTACCTCCTTAGATTTTTTCCTAAGTATTTTGTCCTTTTTGGATGCTATTGTAAATGAGATTTTTTTCCTTAATTTCCTTTTCTGATTGTTCACTGTTAGTATATAGAAACACAACTGATTTTTGTTTGTTGATTTTATATCCTTCAACTTTGCTGACTTCATTTATTAGTTCTTAGTGTTTTTGTGGAATCTTTAGGGTTTTCTACATGTCATATGTGAACAGAGATTTTACTTCTTCCCTTCCAATTTGGATGCCTTTTATTTCTTTTTCTTGCCTAATTGCTCTCGCTAGATCTCCCAATACTGTGTTGAACAGAGGTGATGAGAGCAGACATCCTTGTTTCTGATCTTAGTAAAAAGCTTTGGTCTTTCACCTTTGAGCATGATGTTAGCTGTGGGCTTTTCATATATGGCCTTTATTATGATGAGGTAGTGTCCTATTCCTAGTTTGTTGAGTAAATCACTGAAAATCATGAAAGAGTGTTGAATCTTGTCAAATGGTTTTTCTGCATCAATTGAGATGATCATGTGGTTTTTGTCCTTCATTCCATAATGTGGTATATTACATGGGATGATTTTCATAATCATCCTTGCATTCTAGGAATAAATCCCACTTGGTCATGGTGTCTAATCCATTCAATGGGCTGTTGAATTCAGTTTGCTATATGCTCCTATTTAAAGTTAGTAATTACTTAAATTGGAAGGACTTACATTTTGTTGTTCCCTGTGTGTCTTGTAGCTTTTTGTCCCTCTTTTCCTCTCTACTGTCTTGCTTTGTGTTTCATTGATTTTGTTTGTAGTGACATGCTTTGATATGCTCATTTTGTTTTGGTATATTCTATAGATATTTTCTTTGTAGTTATCATTGCAATTACATAAAACATCATAAAGTTATAATATCTTTTTTTAAACTGATAATAATTTAACTTCAGTTGCATACAAAAACTCTACTCCTATAAGCTCCGTTCCCCCCACTTTGTTATTGATGTCATAAATTACATCTTTATATATTGTATACCTGTTAACATAAGTATATAGTTATTTTTTCATGTTATTATCATTTAAATTCTGAATAGGAATTAAAACTGAATTATGCGCCAAAATTACATTAATACAGGTTACTATATTTGTCCATGAATTTATTTTTACTGGAAAACTTTACATTTTCATGTGGCTTCATGCTGCTGTCTAGTGTCTTTTCATCTTGAAGGACTCCCTTTACTATTTCTTGCAGAGCCGGCCTAGTGGTAATGAACTCCCTCAGCTTTTTTTTATCTGGGAAAATCTTAATTTCTCCTTCATTTTTGCAGGACAGTTTTGCTGGATACAGTATTCTTGGTTGATGGTTTTTTTCTTTTAGCATTTTGAATCTATTGTACCAGTCTCTTCTGGCCTGTAAGGTTTCTGCTGAGAAATCCACTGATAATCTTAGGGAAGGTCCCTTGTATGTGATGAGTTGCTTTTCTCTTGCTGCTCTCAAGATTCTCTCTCTGACTTGAACTTTTGGCAGTTTGATTGTAATGTGTCTTTGTATGGGTCTCTTTGGATTTATCCTGGTTGGAGTTTTTTGAGCTTCTTGAATTTGTATGTCCATTTCTTTCCTCAGATATGGGAAGTTTTCAATCATTATTTCTTCAAGTAAGCTCTCTTCCCCTTTCTCTCTTCTTCTCCCAGGACTCCCATATGTGAATATTGGGCCTCTTGATAGTGTCCCATAAGTTTCTTAAGCTCTCTTCACTTTTCTTCCTTTTTTTCCTTTTTATTCTGACTCAATTTCAAACGCTCTGTCTTCAAGTGCGCTGATATCTTTCTTCTGCTTGATCAAGTCTGATGATGAGCCCCTTTAGTGAGTTTGTCAAATCACTTATTGTATTTTTCAGCTTCAGAATTTCTGTTTGGTTCTTCTTATAGTTGCTGTCCCTTTGTTGATATTCTCATTTTGTTCATGCATCATTTTTCTGATTCTGTTAGTTGTCTTTGTTCTCTTAGCTCATTTTGTGTTTCTTTAGGTGTTGTTTCTGGAGTTTTATTTTGTTTCTTTGATTGGGCCGTTTGTCCCTATTTCTTTGTATGCCTTGTGGTTTTTTTTCTTGAGACCTAATCATTTGGGGAAAAAACTACCTCTCCCATCATTATGGCCTAGCATCATGGAAGGGAAGACTTTCACCAATCAGCCCAGCTACAGAGGTTCTATGACCTCTCAAGCCAATTTTGAGGATGTGTCCTCTCTGAGCTTGAGTGTGTGCTTTTAGTTGTCTCAGATTCCCTAATCAGCTTGGGTCTATTTCTTGTCAGAGCTTGTACTCTGTTGCTGTCCCTGGCATCTGCCTGTGGAACTGTAACTCTGATCTGCTGTGGTAATCACATCTGCTTTCAGTGGCTTCCTAACAAGGCTGCCAGTCCTGTCAGTACTCTTGAGTCAGGGAGACGGAAACTAGTCCTTCAGGCAGCCCCCAGACTAGCGATAACATTGGATGCATGATCCACTCTTGTTTCTGTCCAGAAGGAGGATCCCCAGTGTGGGAAGTTTCCTCCCTCTTGAGCCCTGCTAGGTCAGATAGGGGAGGGACACAGATGGGCACACAAAACAATGTATATTTTCCTTAGTCTTTTGTTGGAATTCCATCTTGGGTTTTTTGTTTTTTTTGTGTGTGTGTGTGAGGGAGATCAGCCCTGAGCTAACATCCGTGCTAATCCTCTTCTTTTTGCTGAGGAAGACTGGCTCTGAGCTAACATCTATTGCCCATCCTCCTCCTTTTTTTTCTTCCCCAAAGCCCCAGTAGATAGTTGTATGTCATAGTTGCACATCCTTCTAGCTGCTGTTATGTGGGACGCAGCCTCAGCATGGCCGGAGAAGCGGTGCGTCAGTGCGCGCCCAGGATCCGAACCCGGGCCGCCAGTAGTGGAGCGCGCGCACTTAACTGCTAAGCCACCGGGCCAGCCCCCCATCTTGTTTTTTTGTTAGCCTGGGTGCTGTAGCTTCTCAGTTGGTCTCTGGAGTTCTTGCAAAGGTACTCTGGTCTGTATGTTATTGTTAACTTGGTGTTTCTGTGGGAGAATGAGGGCCTGAAGTTTCCCAGTTCACCATCTTGCTGATGTCCCTCCTTTTCTGGAGTTTCTAAACAATGCTGCCAGTAGCATCAGTGCTCTGAGTCAGGCGAGACAGAAACTAGTCCTTTGAGCAGCCTCAAGACAAGCCAAAATGTTGGACACAAGTTCCATTCTTATGTTTCGGTTCCAAGGGGGCATCCCTAGTGTGGGAGGTTTCCTCTGGGTTGCCCTGCACTAGGTTGGATGGGTGAGGGGCATGAATGAGCATGCAAAACACAACAAATTTTCTTACCACTTCTGATGGAATCCCTTCTTGGTTATATGTTGGTCTTGGTGCTGTAGCTTCTCAGCTGGTCTCTAGGGTTCTTACAAAGGTATTCTGGTCTGTATATTTTTAATTCAGTGTCTCTGGGAGAGCTAGGGCCTGAAGCTTCCTTGTACTCCATCTTGCTGATGTCACACTCTCTTCCTTTTTGTTTTTTTAAAGTGTTGTTTCTTTTTAGGATGATGTTATGGTGCTGTGAAGTTAAAATGAGTTTATGCTTTTGGGAGGGGTTGGCATTTGTCTTATTTATCTTTCTTCAGCACCCTTAATTCCTCCTCTTATTTCCTTCTTTCGTTTCACTGCAGTGTCTCCAAGGGGGTATTAACTCTTCTCTATATATCTGATTTTCCCCAGAAGCGCTGCTTCTCTGAAGCTGCCAAGCTCCTTGCATGTAGTCAAGTGCTGTGAACTATCAAATTGGTGATCTGTGTTCATTATTTTGGCATTTAGTTGTACTTTTTTTTCTGGGGATGATTTTGTTTGTGCTTCATCTAAGTCTTCGATGCCTCTTGATGTTTATCCTGAGTCTCTTAAGCCTCCTCTCCTTGCTTTTTACTCACAGGCTTGCAGCAGTGTAGGATGGTGGGAGTTCTGTTGGAATTGAACTTGCTTCTTTGCTTAGAAGTAATTTGAAGGTTGTAGTGCTAGTCTGTGTTTCTTAGTAATGTTAAAGGTGTGGGTCGGATGTGATTTTATTTATTCTCTTTACTGATTATATGGTTTTTCTAGGAGGCTGTGTGCTGTCACCATTTTTTCTTCCAGACCTTGAAGTCAGCCATACTGCTTTTTAATATAATATAAAAGACAACCACTGTTTATATTATTGTGGCTCACCTCTAGGAGCCACAATAGACTACTAGGTTCCTGCTTCATCCAGATTGTGCTGTTCTTTGCAGGTTCTTGAGCAGGCCAGAATGGAAATCCCCTTGTTTCCCTTTAGCATCGTCCAGTTCTCTTTTGAAACCTTTTCACCCAGCCTCACTGAAGAAATGAACAAAAGGGTAAGTGAATGGGTTCTGCTAGATGATTTATTTAATGACTTATAATCTCCTCCCTTATAGGAAAGTAATACTTACTTTATTAAGTTTGCTGTATATTTCTCCAGGTTTTTTCTGTGTATATTAACATTTTAGAAAATACATTTTTATAAAAATGAGAATCAGACTATTTACAACTTTATTTTTTCATTTAAGAATATATCATGTTCATCTTTCCATGTCACTACATAATCTTATTTTCCTTGTTTTTAATGGCTGCATAGTATTCTTTTTTTTTTTTTTTTTTTGGTGAGGAAGACTGGCCCTGAGCTAACATCTGTTGCCAATCCTCCTCTTTTTGCTGAGGAAGATTGGCCCTGGGCTAACATCTGTGCCCATCTTCCTCTACTTTATGTGGGATGCCTGCCACAGCATGGCTTGGTTAAGTGGTGTGTAGGTCAGCACCTGGGATCTGAACCTGCGAACCCCAGGCTGCTGAAACAGAGCGCACAAACTTAATCACTATGCCACCAGGATGGCCCTGCATAGTATTCTTTTGTATGATGTACCTATTATTTTCAGCATTTGTGGTTTATGAATTTTTGCTATTCCAAATAATGCTGCAGTGAAATCCCTGTGTACAAATCCTTGGACATTTGGCAAGTGTTTGTGTTGAGAAATTCCTTGAAGTGGAATTATACCATGTTTTGACTCATAATTTCTTGAGATTTGACTTAATTCTCTTTCTTCATCCACCTCCTCGCTGTATTCTGTTGTTTTTTTTATATAGATGAGGATCAAGTGGACAGAGATGTCAACTGTCTATGCTGGGCCATTTAGCAAAAATTGCAACCTCAGGGCTCTGAAGAGACTGTTTAAGAGCTTTGGCCCAGTCCAGTCAATGACTCTTGTTCTTGAAACCCATCAGGTAATGAGACAAGAAAACTCAGATTTTTACTTTCTAGGTTAGCGTTGGAGATTTAGATGGGGCCATTTGGATAACAAGTATTAGTGATATGAGCTTGATTGTCACCAACTGGAGTGTGAGACATGCTCTGTCTGGTGAGAGCAGTTGCTGACCCACAGGAATGTGTACCCCAGATTACCAGATCTTTGATTTTGTTTTGAGAATTGAAAAATCTGCCAATTTTCATATTCTGGCTCCAATATTCTTAAATATATAGGCCAGACCAAAAAAAAAAGTCTGTTGGTGGAATGAGGCCTATGGGCTTCCTGCTTGTGACCTCAGCTTTAAATGATAAAATGCCCTTTGAAGATTTTATTTTATTTATTTATTTATTTTTATTTATTTTTTCCCCCCAAAGCCCCAGTAGATAGTTGTGTGTCATAGCTGCACATGCTTCTAGTTGCTGTATGTGGGACGCGGCCTCAGCATGGCCGGAGAAGCGGTGCGTCGGTGCGCGCCCGGGATCCGAACCTGGGCCGCCAGCAGTGGAGCATGAGCACTTAACCACTAAGCCACGGGGCCGGCCCGATAAAATGCCCTTTGAAAAACAGCACTAACTTCCATGTCTTGGGAAGTCTCTGTAGGGTTTAACTACAAAGGAGGCTCATAGCTGGGTTCAGATATAGGAGGAGCTAATATTAAGGCAGGGCTTTTTTTGTTGTTTTTGTTGTTTGTTCTCCAGTCTCTAGGAGTAAGTTTTATTTATTGGTTTGTTATTTACATAAAAATCCTATAAAGAGTTTAATTATTTTTACTTTTTAAAAAATAATACTTGCATATGGTTTAAAAAATTCATACTATTTAAAAGGACTTAACAAGTAAGCCTCCATCTTTATGGTCATAGCAGGAAGTCAACAGATAAAGACTACAATTATATGAAGCAATAACAACATTATAAGCACATTATATTGAGACAGGAAACCATGGAAAGAATTCAAAATAGAAACTGTATAACAGATATCTGTGGAACTATTGATATACAATAACTGGTAACAATGGGACCTCCAGAGAGAGGAACTAGGTGGCTGGAAACGGGTTAGGGGAAGACTTTTCACTGTAAATATTTTGTACCTTTAGAATTTTGACCTAGGCAACTATTGAACTGATGAATTAAACTATTATGTTTAATAACTATTTACTATAACTATAATGTAATAACTATTCTATTTAATGACTATTAAAGTGAAGTAAAAAATTAAAGACTTCCAAGTGATCCAAGTGCACAATCCTAGATGTTTAAAATGTGCTTTCCCCAAATCTTTAATGTCTTTCCTATACCTAAAAATAGAAATAAAAGTATCGTCCCTGGAAAGATGGACTGAGGTATGGGAAGGATATGTCAAGGGACTGTAACTGCTTCCTTTAAGTCTTTCTTATTCCTTTTTTTTTTGGTAAAATATATATAAAATTTGCCTTTTTAATGGTTTTTAAGTGTACAGTTTAGTGTTATTAAGTACATTTTCTCCAGAGCTTTTTCATCATCCCAAACTGAAACTCTGTCCCCATTAAACAATAACTCCCAGTCCCCCCTCCAGGCCTGGTAAGTACGATTGTACTTTCTGTCTTTATGAATTTGACTACTCTATGAACGTCATGTAAGTAGAATCATACAATATTTGTCCTTTTGTGTCTGGCTTATTTCACGTAGCATAATGTCTTCAAGGTTCATCGATGTTGTAGCATGTATCAGAATTTCATTGCTTTTTAAGGCTGCATAATATTCCGTTGTATGGATATATGACGTTTTGTTTATCCATCCATCTGTTGATGAACATTTGGGTTGTTTCCACCTTTTGG